AATAAAATAATTATGAGTCTTAAAATATTCATACAAAATATACATTAACTTCTATGATTAACAATAAATGCATGAACTTCACTATGTAAAAAAGTTAATTTCCAATTATTAAATGATATTATTAAATGACACTAAAATAGATATCGAATTTTAATATATTATAAATAATCATAAAATAAGAGTTTTATAATAAAATAATTGATTTTTACTACTTAATGTAAAGTATTATTTTATACATTTATTGAAAAAAATTAATTTAATACACAAGTTCAATGAACACAATAAAATAACATTTAGCTCATTATAACATAGCATCCTCACAAAAAAGATATAATAAAATCTGAGTGTTTACTTGAATGATTTTATTTTTAAAAAAATAAATTTGTATAATTAATAATATAAAGTGCATATAATATCTGTTTCATAGAGTAAAACTATAATATATTACAAATATCATAGTCTAATTAGCACAGGAGAACTAAGAATACATCGTTCCAAATTAAAAAAAATATTTCTAATGTTTGTATATAGAATATTTAATAATAAAAAAAAGAAAAAATTGATTAAAATTTTGAATAAAAAACATATATGTTTGGATAGAAATATAATAACATTAAGTAAAACAATACATAATGGCAATACATGTACATTATTATATACATTAATGAAAAATTAATTCTAAATATATTCACTTATATGAGGTAATTATTATAATGTTAAAAATAATTTTTTATAATTATGTTATTAATAAGAGAATGTATATTTGTTCAATTCATATATATATAATTATTTTATAAGTTAACAACTAATATTAGCTATAATTTTTATGTAATATTTTTTATCCAATTATAACTCATAAAATACGTATAGATGAAAATATCCTACAAAATCAAGATAATTTTAGTGTTACATATAAGTACATAATTAAATAACAATTATTTTTTTCAGAGAAGCATGTGAATATTATGAGTTAATAAAATATTCAATGTGCATGATGTAGTATATAATAAACCGTAAAAAATATATAATATATATCAGTATTTTATCATTTTGTAATAAACAATAAAGATTATATAATAATATATGTTGTTCTCTTAAAAATATAGAATAAAATAAAAATCTACCTTTAGTAGCACTGGTATAACTAAAATAAACATAATGAATTCTAACGAAAAATATGTAACAAATATAAATAATTTGTACTATAATTATGTTATTATGAATATTTATTGTTGAATATATTTTTAGTTTATGATTTTTTTTTTTTTTCTTCATATATATATATTATA